GATTTGATCTCCCTGTGAGATACACCACCCTGCTCCCCCAGAGCTGAGTGGCTCCTCAGCACACCCTGCCAAAAGACCTCGCTCTGCATCGTTGTTGATCTTGCAGTACCAGGACAGAGATCTTCCTCTTCAGCAGCCCAAGAGCCCTGGCTGGATCTTCCTCTTACCCTGCAGATCCCTCCTCCAAGGCTGGTCCAGATTCCCACCACAATTCTGGCCAAACCCCTTAGACCAGCTTTGCAATGACCCCTTCTTCTTTCAATCCCAGGCCATCTCCTTGCTCAGCCCATCAAAACTGGGTTTTGTGGTCCATACATGTCCCACCCTTCCACTGTCCCACTGTTCCACTGTTTGGAGCATCTCTCCAAACTGGTGTCCTGCTCTAGGGCTTGGGGCACTGTGGCTGAGAAGTAAGAAGGGATTGTCCCAGCCTCCAAAGGCTGGAAGGGTTTATCACCTGTGCCCCAAGGACTGATGTACCTGCTGGCCCTTCAACACCAGCCCCTCCACTCCACCTCACCTGGTGCCTGACCCCCTTGGACTGCCCCTGCTGACCCTGGAGTTCTGGAGGAGTTGCTCCCAGATTTTTCTGTCAGCCCCACATGGATCCAACTTTCCCGCTTTCTCCCACGTGTCCCTCCATCCAGCCCAGCTCCCCAGATGAGCAAGACACACTCATTGCCACAGCACCACCCCTGAGAGCCGACCTGCTCATCGGCCTAATGGGTTTCCAAGGGGGTGGGGGAGAGGGGAGGAGAGTGAGTGGCTGACGCTTCTCAGCCACTCAGCTCGGCCCAGAGCTAACGAGGCATCTCAAAATTAAAAAGTGAACTGCAATCCCCAGCAGGCCTGTCCTCCTTTTGGCATTAGTCGGAGTTCTCTTTCTCTCTCTCAAAAAAAAAAAGAGGACTGGGGAGCCGTGAGTTGCATTTGGAGCCGTTGAAGCACCACATCCCAGGGACAGTGGGGGTGCTGGGATGAAGAGGGCAGCCTGGGGCTGCTGTACCATGTGAGCACTGGCTCTCTTAGGAAGGCTGATAAGTGCAAGATCTGCCTCACCATAGCGAGGATCACAAATGGTCCATGGGAAGAGGCCCTTCCAGTGCCTCTGCACCCAGAGGTCTCAAAATCTACCCTGCTCTGAGGGTATCAACACTAGGTGCATGGAGGAGGAGTCCCAGGATGTGGAGGTGGTGCCCTGCCCACAGGGCTGAGCAGGTTGTGGACAGCTCAGGGGTGATTGCCACCAGGCACTGATGTTGGGGAAGGATGGCAAGAAGGAAATAAGGCTCCTGTAGGAGGAAGAGATGGGGAAAGCGAGCAGAGAAAGAGCAGAGAAGTGGGGAAGGGAGGGCAGCCCGGTTTATCGCTTTTGTGGGTTGCATTTCTCACATGACAATCTGTCTGCACCTCTGGGGATCACAAATGGTCCATGGGAAGAGGCCCTTCCAGTGCCTCTGCACCCAGAGGTCTCAAAATCTACCCTGCTCTGAGGGTATCAACACTAGGTGCATGGAGGAGGAGTCCCAGGATGTGGAGGTGGTGCCCTGCCCACAGGGCTGAGCAGGTTGTGGACAGTGCAGGGGTGATTGCCACCAGGCACTGATGTTGGGGAAGGATGGCAAGAAGGAAATAAGGCTCCTGTAGGAGGAAGAGATGGGGAAAGCGAGCAGAGAAAGAGCAGAGAAGTGGGGAAGGGAGGGCAGCCCGGTTTATCGCTTTTGTGGGTTGCATTTCTCACATGGTAATCTGTCTGAGAAGGACCTTTCTCTGCCTGCACCTCTTGAATGCCCATCACTGGCTGCTCTGATCTTCCTGCCCTCAATGTCCTCATCCTTGACTTGCAGAGGGTGAGAGCTCAGAGAGGTGCTCTCTGGAGCAGCTCAGCCTGGCTCACAGGAAACTGAGAGGTACCTGCTTTGCTCCAGCCCTGTCCATTCCTCCTGCCTTTCCAGCCAGACCCCTCGGTCACTGCTGGGCCAGCCCCGAGACAGCCCCATGCTGTTCCTCCAGGGCAGATGGCTCTTATCGCTTTTGTGGGTTGCATTTCTCACATGGTAATCTGTCTGAGAAGGACCTTTCTCTGCCTGCACCTCTTGAATGCCCATCACTGGCTGCTCTGATCTTCCTGCCCTCAATGTCCTCATCCTTGACTTGCAGAGGGTGAGAGCTCAGAGAGGTGCTCTCTGGAGCAGCTCAGCCTGGCTCACAGGAAACTGAGAGGTACCTGCTTTGCTCCAGCCCTGTCCATTCCTCCTGCCTTTCCAGCCAGACCCCTCGGTCACTGCTGGGCCAGCCCCGAGACAGCCCCATGCTGTTCCTCCAGGGCAGATGGCTCTAAGCTGGACCTGTCACCCCTCCAAGATACTCTCTTGGTGAGCTGCAGCTCATCCTAACTGGTCCTCCTGGGGTCAAAGCATAAATGAGTGGAGTGGTCATGTCCCCCAGCAGAGATGGCTTACAGCCGGCTTGCCCAGCTGGAAGGCAGCTGAAGGGTGGCAGGATGGTCCAAGTGGAGCATGTGGTGGACGGCGGGGCAGTGTCCTGGAGAACAGCCCAGTCCTCAGGGTGCTGAGCCTGGGGTTCAGTCCAGTCCCACATGTCCCTGAGAGATGCCAGGTCTGCACACACAATGCCTCCAGGGCTTTGCCCAAAGTGTGCCTTTTCCAGCTGCACACAATTTATTGGGGGGAACTTCGCTTTCTCCACAGCAGGGCTGTGGATGGACTAGAAGCCACAAAGGGTTAGACACATCCTGGCATGATCCCACTGGATTTGTCCCAGGAATGGATTTGGCCCAAAATCTCAGAGAACTGGTGAGCTCTGGGGACAGCAGTGATGCAAGGAAACTTCCAACCCCTTCCCCTGGGCTTGTAATGCTAATGATCTCCAGCTTTCAGACTCACCTCTCAGCCCACCCTTCCCTCATCTGTAAATGCCGCAGGGGAAATTTTGTCCGGATAAGCTTATCCTCAGGGGGAGGGTGCCAGACATGCTGAGGGCATCCCTGCAGACTGAGCACCAAAGGCACCCGGGACGTTGCACTCACGAGCAGAGGAAAGGACAAGAAAGGGTGAAAGGCAACAGTGAGACGAGGGCAGGGCAGAGGGTTACCATCATCTTTCTATTTCTCTTCCTGAGTGAGGGAAAATGCAGTTTGTACTTCGGGAATTTGGAGTAAAATCGAATGAAATGCAATGGTTGCCCCAAACCATCCATTTTGCAGCCAGGAAGGACGCAGTGCCTGCCGAGCCCAGCCTGCTCACCGCACAGACCTGGCAGGATCAGCAGCATCGCCTGCACCGAGCCCCGCGCCGCCTTGCCCGGGCTGAAGGAAGGGGTAGTCCGTGTCCTGGGGAGGGGAGGGCGGGTGGCTGGATGCCCTGGGGACCTGGCATCAGAGTACACAGGCTCTGAAATGGACCTGGGCTGCTGGACCTTCAGCCCCACCACTCCCCGCAGGACCCCTCTGTTCTGATCCTCCGCGGAGCCAGATCACCTACTGTTTTACTGTATCATAATCATCTCAATGGCTTACAAGATGGTTTTCTTGCAGTTTTTATGTTGTGTCTGCAGTTCTTCCCCTCATAAAGTGTGACTGCACCAATTCCTGTGGCTGGGGCTGGTCAGCTAAAAGGGACATTTCATGTTTCCCAGACACAGCTTTTAAATCAAATCCACGTTCAAGGAAGAGAAGGGAGAGAGGGAGCCTCTTTTTCCTTGCAGAGAGCTGCAAACTTCCCCAAAATGTTCCCCACTGCGCTGAAGTGACCTGTGCACTATGGAGGGATGAGCACCTCCTCCACTCCACTCTCTTCCATGAGGAAGCTTGGTGTTTCCACCTGGTGCTGCTGCCTGAAAGACCCTGCTCCACACCAGAGGAGATCTCAGTGGTGAGGGTGGTGGGGATGGTGAGAGTGGGCAGGGAAGGTAGACTCTGCCAGAGGTAAAGCAGTGGTGAGTGAGTGGGGGCAGGTTTGGGTAAGGTGCAAGGAAACCAGAGATTTCAGGGAGAAATGGGTTCATTCATGGGGTCATGGGAAACTGGAATACACCGAGGTGACTTCAAAACCTGATGAAATCAGTGGGGATATTCACCCACCCCCAGCTTCAAGGACCTCTGGACCCTCTTGGAGGAAACTCCTCCCTTGTATCACCATGGACTTGGCCCTAGCATCTCCCCACTTTGAGAGCACAAGCACAAACATGTTTCCTAGCAGTCATAGGCTGAAGGTCCCCCAATCCCAGGTATGTCCCTGTTAGGAGGAAATAGCATTGTCCAGAAAAGACTGAAAACAGCCAAGCTCAGTGGGCTGTAGCCAGAAGTCCTCCAAATCCCCCTCCCTGCGTGGTCAGCTATGGTTTTCCATTGCCTGCTCATCTCCAACAAATGGACCTCAACTGTACCCTGGAGTATGACGGTACCCAAGGCTCTTCCCATTCTCCTTTTTGCTCACAGGACACAAGAGAGGAATTGAAGATCCTCACATTTCCTACTGAATAAGCAGTGAGGCCACCAGCTCCCCAGGGAATATTTTATCCCATATTGTTGCTGAGGGGGCAGTTTGGCAGAATGACCGACAGCCCTGCCAAAGGACACCCCAACCCTCTGCAGGGAAAGAACTAAAAAATCCGGCACTGGGAATGGATGTGGAGGAGGGTGACCTGTTATCCACAACGGAGGAAAGTTTGAAGTAGAGGAAAAGCAGAGTCCCAGCAAAACGTCCTCGGAAACACCCCACCTTGGACAACCCCCCAGCTGCCTGCAGAGATTGGTTATGGCAGGAAGAGAGGAGCTGGTGAGAGGAAGGGAGAACCAGGAGGCGAGAAAGAAATGTGAGGGAGAAGGCAAGAAGGAGATGGGGATATCAAACAGGGAGGGGGGAGAAGTGAGGTGGGAACATTTCGCAAGGTCAGAATGTGTTAAGAGCAGCCGAGCTGGCAGCGCAGACACGCGACAGCCCCCGTGCTCTGCTCCCCGCGACCGGCCATCACCATACCTCCAAAGTCAGGCCTGAGGCGGACGTCATAGCCCTTCAGCAGTTTGTCCACAATCTCTTTCACCACAGAAATATTCCCAGTGGATGGGCTGAAAGACAAAAGAAGAGAGTCCTCCGGGACGTTGCACTCACGAGCAGAGGAAAGGACAAGAAAGGGTGAAAGGCAACAGTGAGACGAGGGCAGGGCAGAGGGTTACCATCATCTTTCTATTTCTCTTCCTGAGTGAGGGAAAATGCAGTTTGTACTTCGGGAATTTGGAGTAAAATCGAATGAAATGCAATGGTTGCCCCAAACCATCCATTTTGCAGCCAGGAAGGACGCAGTGCCTGCCGAGCCCAGCCTGCTCACCGCACAGACCTGGCAGGATCAGCAGCATCGCCTGCACCGAGCCCCGCGCCGCCTTGCCCGGGCTGAAGGAAGGGGTAGTCCGTGTCCTGGGGAGGGGAGGGCGGGTGGCTGGATGCCCTGGGGACCTGGCATCAGAGTACACAGGCTCTGAAATGGACCTGGGCTGCTGGACCTTCAGCCCCACCACTCCCCGCAGGACCCCTCTGTTCTGATCCTCCGCGGAGCCAGATCACCTACTGTTTTACTGTATCATAATCATCTCAATGGCTTACAAGATGGTTTTCTTGCAGTTTTTATGTTGTGTCTGCAGTTCTTCCCCTCATAAAGTGTGACTGCACCAATTCCTGTGGCTGGGGCTGGTCAGCTAAAAGGGACATTTCATGTTTCCCAGACACAGCTTTTAAATCAAATCCACGTTCAAGGAAGAGAAGGGAGAGAGGGAGCCTCTTTTTCCTTGCAGAGAGCTGCAAACTTCCCCAAAATGTTCCCCACTGCGCTGAAGTGACCTGTGCACTATGGAGGGATGAGCACCTCCTCCACTCCACTCTCTTCCATGAGGAAGCTTGGTGTTTCCACCTGGTGCTGCTGCCTGAAAGACCCTGCTCCACACCAGAGGAGATCTCAGTGGTGAGGGTGGTGGGGATGGTGAGAGTGGGCAGGGAAGGTAGACTCTGCCAGAGGTAAAGCAGTGGTGAGTGAGTGGGGGCAGGTTTGTGGGTGTCAAAGGAGAACCAGAGATTTCAGGGAGAAATGGGTTCATTCATGGGGTCATGGGAAACTGGAATACACCGAGGTGACTTCAAAACCTGATGAAATCAGTGGGGATATTCACCCACCCCCAGCTTCAAGGACCTCTGGACCCTCTTGGAGGAAACTCCTCCCTTGTATCACCATGGACTTGGCCCTAGCATCTCCCCACTTTGAGAGCACAAGCACAAACATGTTTCCTAGCAGTCATAGGCTGAAGGTCCCCCAATCCCAGGTATGTCCCTGTTAGGAGGAAATAGCATTGTCCAGAAAAGACTGAAAACAGCCAAGCTCAGTGGGCTGTAGCCAGAAGACCTCCAAATCCCCCTCCCTGCATGGTCAGCTATGGTTTTCCATTGCCTGCTCATCTCCAACAAATGGACCTCAACTGTACCCTGGAGTATGACGGTACCCAAGGCTCTTCCCATTCTCCTTTTTGCTCACAGGACACAAGAGAGGAATTGAAGATCCTCACATTTCCTACTGAATAAGCAGTGAGGCCACCAGCTCCCCAGGGAATATTTTATCCCATATTGTTGCTGAGGGGGCAGTTTGGCAGAATGACCGACAGCCCTGCCAAAGGACACCCCAACCCTCTGCAGGGAAAGAACTAAAAAATCCGGCACTGGGAATGGATGTGGAGGAGGGTGACCTGTTATCCACAACGGAGGAAAGTTTGAAGTAGAGGAAAAGCAGAGTCCCAGCAAAACGTCCTCGGAAACACCCCACCTTGGACAACCCCCCAGCTGCCTGCAGAGATTGGTTATGGCAGGAAGAGAGGAGCTGGTGAGAGGAAGGGAGAACCAGGAGGCGAGAAAGAAATGTGAGGGAGAAGGCAAGAAGGAGATGGGGATATCAAACAGGGAGGGGGGAGAAATGAGGTGGGAACATTTCACAAGGTCAGAATGTGTTAAGAGCAGCCGAGCTGGCAGCGCAGACACGCGACAGCCCCCGTGCTCTGCTCCCCGCGACCGGCCATCACCATACCTCCAAAGTCAGGCCTGAGGCGGACGTCATAGCCCTTCAGCAGTTTGTCCACAATCTCTTTCACCACAGAAATATTCCCAGTGGATGGGCTGAAAGACAAAAGAAGAGAGTCCTCGTCATCCCATGTGCCAACATCCCTGCGGGAGGGGGTCCTGGCTGGGCAGCACTGCCAGGGCATCCCTCATGCCTCATGACACCAAAGCACCTGTGTGTCCTACACCCCAGCCATGGGCACAGACTCCCCATTTCCTTCCTCACCCCTATTTTCTGTCCCTGGTGCAGCTCTTGGCCCCTGGCAAGCACACAAGCCCTTCAGGGCTGCCAGGGGAGCTACCAGGGGTCCTCAGCCATCCTTGGAGGTGGTACAGAAGTCTTAGCAAGTATTTTGGCTCCTCTTCTGTGGCTCAACCCCAACTCCTGGATACTTCTAACTCCATCTCCCCACATTCCCTGCTGGTGCTTGTCTGCATCCCAGCAGTCCTGACAGGCTGGTACACCCCTCAGGATGGGCACCACACGTACCCTCTCCCTGGCCACCAACCTGCACACTCGGGTCACCTCGCTGTCTCCTGCCCATAGGTGGGTACACACACACACACACAGAGGCAGAAACCATCTTTTTGTTCCACTTGCTCCCACTCTCACACAGCACAGCATGAACTCGTCACACACTGAGGTCCCCACTACACCAGTCCCCCCTCCAGCAGGTGCCCTGCACCATCACACATCCCAGCGCAACCCCTGCCTCTCACTGACCCGGGTGTTTCTTCGTATTATTGAAGTAAAGGGAAAAAACCCCAAAGTTCCTTTTCTTCTATGGCCTCAACATATGGCTGATCTTTGGTACGTAAAAATTCATTTTCTGTCACACAGCATCACAGTGACTTCTTAGCAACGCAAATTAAGAGATAGAGATGGGGAAGGAGAGTCCATCTTCTGCTTTCTGTGCCAGGGCAGCGATCCTTTCCCTCCCAACCCTCTGATTTGCACAAAAGGGGTAGCAGCCGTCCTCCCTGCCATTGATCCAGCTTCTCCAGCCATTTCAGCAACGAGGAAGCTCCCTCTCATAACAGCCCGAGAGCTAAAACAAAACTGAAGGTGGGAAACCAGAAAGCAGAGGATGCTAAAAATATTGAACCTATTCAGTGCTGCGGGGTATATAGGTTTTCTGCCTGAAAACCCAGCCTCTGTGCCACCCTCATCCCCTGCTTTGCATGAGAATAGAGACCCTGCCGGTGACAACTGCTGCTCTTTGCAGTCACCCACCACAACAGCATGTCTCCCTGTCAACACCGCCTCCCACATCCATCCAAGTCAAGCTGGAAAGCTGCAGCATAGCACTACCTCTGCCAGCCAGCTCCCTGCCTCACCGGACACCGGGGTTTGCGCTGGCATGTCCGTGTGTCTGCACACAGGGACACAGACACACAGACACACACGCTCTCCTGACTCTACAGAGGATGCACGGACCCCCTGCCTGTGCACACAGGCGTGCGGACACACAAAAGTGCTGGAGCTCAAGGGTACAGCTGTGAAACGTGCACAAACATGTGTGTGACCACATCCAGGCCTGTGTGGAGGTGACTGGGGGTGCAGATCTTGCCCCACCGGGTTATGACGAGACCCTGGGCTGTGGACACATTTGATCCAGGAGCACAGAAACAGGTGTTTGTGGGTGCCTGAGGCTGGGTTCTCAGGTGCCCAGACTTTCCGTATAGGTGTGGGTGGAGGCATGTGGGACCACCGGGGAGCCTGGGCATGCATTTTGGCTCTGGATGCACAGTCTGTGTATGTGCAGAGATTTCTCAACCAAAGAGGGATGTGCAAATGTGAGGCAGAACACTTCCCAGGCCCAGCTTTGGTGCATGGACAAACCATTCAGCACTTGGACTGGGTGGGGGGAGTGTCTGAGACACGTTCCTGAGCACGCACCTTTCAGGGGCACAGCTCTTCGTTGCATTGCCTTATTCACTGTAAAAAGGCCAGAGAGGTGCACCCAGGTGGACATTTTCAGAACACCATGTCTAGGCTTGAAAGGTGCACTCAAACCTGTGGATTTCTATGCAGGTGTGTGTGGTTTTGCAATATGCTTATGTATATATGCTCACTGTGGATTAACAGCGTGCACCAACATTTGTTCTTCTCTAGACAGTCATTCCTAGGTACACAGATTTCCATATTTATAGATTTCCATATTCATAATATAGACACTATGTATTTCTCAAGGGATTTAGACACTTCTGTTTAGCTTCCACAGGGCATAAACTCAGGAAGTAGTGTTACCTTCTTAATTTAGGCAAGGAAATTGAGGCAGAGACAGTAACCAACGTGCCAGGGGCCCTGCAGAAAGGGGCACAGTGGGAAGAGGGATATAGGGGATTCTTCCTCCTCGTCAGCTACAAGTTGGCCCAGCGAGGACATGAACTGGCATCACGATTGAGAGCAAAGTCTCCTGCCTCTCTGTGCTCCTTTTGATCCAAAAAGCCACATCCCTCCCGCTGAGCAGGCAAGTTGTGCATTCGCCCAGCTGTGGGCGAGCAGCTGCTCGTGTAAGCGCTATTCCTGGCAAATGTGGGTCTGCATCCACTTAGGGAGCACGTACATCCAGCCTGTGAACTGAATTTGTGAATACTGCGTCCCTGGCTCTGTGTGCTTTGCATACACACCACGTTGGCAGCCAAGCATCTACATGTATGCGCAGGGTGCTGCTGGCGGGGGTGTGTGGGAGTAGCTGAAGGCATGTGCACATGGGAGAGTGTTTGGTCTCCAAGGTGTGCACAGATATACATGCAGACTATAAGCAAATATCAGTCCAGCTATAAACACACACGCAAGGACACCTCTGAGCAAAGGCTCTCGAAACTGGCATTGCTCTTTGCACATTCGCTTGGACGCTAATCACGCCTGTGGCCGTGTCCCTCCAGAGTGGAACCATGCATGAATGGTGTGGGTAAGGTGGGCAGGAGTCTGCGCATGTGCGTGTTTATAACTATGGGAACACA